CTTTCAAACGTCTGATGATCAGACTCTGATCCCTAAGGGACCAGACCGTCCCTTGTCATCAGGCAAGATTTCAAATTACAAAAGTGGATGGCCCATCACACTCGATCAGACGGGTATTTAACCGATATTTAACGACCATTCGTTAAATACGTATTTAACACTAGTTAAGTATAAAACTATTTTACAACTCTACCTGGGACTCAGATCAAGATTATGATGAATGTGTATACTACCATGAAGGATGTGATCTATACGCGGAAGATGTCGACGGTCAGATGGCTGTACTACCAGAAGTGCCTGTGACGACAAAAGATGTGAAGATCGAAGCCATTCAGCTATGTGGATCTGATAATCAGACCCCAGAAGAAATTGATCGACTTCACCAAAGTATCTGGAAGTTCCGACATCTCTTGATCGGCAAGGGAAATGCCCTTCCGCCGGCGCCTAGAGGTGTGATGTGCGATATCGACGTTGGCGGGGCGAGACCTATCGCCCTGAAGTGTCGTAAGTTGCGGATCCAGTTCAAGGAGAAGCTGGGAGACTTAATGAATGGTCTATTGTCCGCCAAGATGATCAATTACTCTAGATCACCATGGGCTTCCCCGATCATGGTGATCATCAAGAAGAATGGAGTGGATATCAGGTTGTGTATCGATTATCGGCTGGTTAACAGCTTGACTCAGCTAATGATCTACCCAATGCCCTTGATCAACGACCTACTTGAAGATCTGGAGTCGACACTTTGGTACTGTTCTTTGGATATGGCGAGGGGTTTTTGAAAATGACGGATCGAGCTCGATTGATCTCGGCTTTTATTACTCCCTTTGGACTATTTGAGTGGAACCGAACGCCTTTCGGTTTGAAGAATGCGGCCCAGATTTATCAACGTATGCTCGACAACGCGCTATATGGATTCACCCGGATCCCAAGGTGTGAAGATCACGGAAGTGCTCTTGATGTGTTTGAGAGTGCTGGCAAACATCATGGGGTAAAAGATCTGGTCGTATTCCTGCATCAATGATCCCGAAATGGCCCAATCGCTAGCATATACCACAACCGTGGCCTTCCGATCTGGATCAAAGTGCCTTAGGATCGGAGTAGTAGCGATCTTGGCTTTGAGTGCACTGAAGAATCGATGGGCATGGATCCAACGCGGATCCACCTCGGTCGGATCTGGCGCCTCCAGATCTAAAGCCTTTCGGTGGTCGACCCCCTGATCCTCCTGTGATCCTCGATCCACGTTTTCCGCTTCCAACACTTGTTGGATCTGCGCTTGGGTAGCCTCTTTCACCATCGCAGCAGAGTCGATTTCTCGCAATTCATACAGAACCGACGCATAAATCGCATAGTCTTTAATGAACTGGCTGTAATAGTTCAGACTTCCCAAACATGACGGCATCGCTCAGAGTGATACCGGGAATGCTAGATCTGTCAATACCGACAGGGCTTTCGGATTCGCCTCCAGTCCATTGTGGGAGACCTTATGGTCGAGATATTCCACCTTACGCATTCCTGAGAAACTCTTAGCCACACTGATCGACAGGTTCCACTTATCACACGCTTCGACTAAACCTTCGCCTCGATCGCATAGTTGATCCCAGCTATTGGCGGGGATCAGGATGTCGTCGATATATGATCTACGAAAAAGTACTGATGGCTTGCCTGGATCCACCGGTTCCCCCGTACTCTGAAGGCGAACGAGCTAAACTATGACATCGCGGAGAAGGAGGTATTAGCACTTCTGAGGATCCTGGACCTTAACTATAATGCGTTGGTCGGACGTCCGATCCATGTGTTGACCCGACACTCGACATTGGCGTGGCTCTTCAGATCCACCGCTCTACAAGGACGTCGAGGACAGTGGGCCGCTCTGTTGTCGCCTTGGACGCTTGAGATCACCAAATGTGTCAAAGGGAGAGGACGAGATCTTAGGATCATTGGCGGCCAGTATTACCCCTAGATACGAAATGGATAAAGCATTGATCTCTATTGCCCCCAAAAAGAAACCAAAACGCAAGATCCAAGCTCCGATCCCCACTATTAGACGCGATGACGGTTAGTTTCGATGGATCTGCTCGCGTCACGAGAGGTGGAGACGCCTACAACGCGATCTTGTGGAAGCTGCCCGAATGGAGGGTGCTGAAGGCTAGATCTAGGTATGCCGAAGGCTTGACGGTGAACGAGGCGGAATACCAGGGGCTGTTCCTATGTTTGGATCTGTTGAAAGATCTGGATCCGCGACGTCTGGTGATCTGCGGAGACTCGAACCTGGTGATCCGACAAGTACGAGGTGAGATCGCTGGGTCTGACACTGTTACGCCAGCGGGCTTTGGATCGACTACGTACTTGTCCAGATCATGAGCTATTACACGTCCATTGGAGCGGCAGTGCTGACAGCTTAGCAAGCGCTGCTCTTCAACGACAATGTGGGATCGAGATAGAGTCTGACATGGAGATCCAGGATCTCATAACTTTAAATCGGTTGGATGCAATCCTGATAGTGAAAGGCGAAGACGAGATCGCGCAGATATCGACTGTGACGACCCGATCTAAAGCTAGAGCTGGAGTACGTATGGGATCTGATCCAGACTCCCTACGAGAGGAAGTCGTGAGAGAGCTACAAATCGAGGGGATCCGGCAAGCGCAGGCTGAGGAGCCGTGGATCTCGGGTCTGAAGAAGTATTTGGTTGGAGAAGTCCGGAATCTGACACAAGAGGATGCCAAAGGGTTTGGATCTATCGCTGTGAAATACGCAGTGGATCCGTCAGACCTACTCTTTTACTGCCCGACAACTAAGGAGGAAGCCGCAGAGCGAGACAGGTTGATGAGACTGGTGATACCCGAGACACTCCAACAGGACATTTTGCATCACTATCACACGAGCCTACAAGGTGGCCATCAAGGGATCGGTCGCACCTACGATCGGATCCGTGATCATTTCCACTGGAGAGGGCTGTATAAGAGCGTACAGCGATACGTGGGAGAATGTGTCGACTGTGAAACAAGCAAAGGGCGACCCCGAATCTAGGATGAGTCACCTGGTAACCTTCAGGCGACATACCCATTCCAGATCATTGCCATGGATCACATACCTTCATTGCCTAGACCCCTCAACCGTCACACCGAACTGCTGATCTTCGTGGATCTATTCTCGGGATATGTGATCGCCAAAGCTAGCGCCTCTAGATCCGCTCAGACAATCGCTGAGACCTACGAGGAATGTGTCTTCCGCAGATTTGGTGCGAGCGAGGTGATCCGGCATGATCGGGAGCCAGGTTTTATGTCTGACTTCTTTAAGCCTTTCAACAAGATCCTGGGACAACGTCAACGTGCTACTATGACTTATCGACCCAAGCCAATGGATCCACAGAGCGTATGGTCCAGACAACTACCAGGGCACTTAAGATTTATGTGCATAATCTGAATCAACGAGATTGGGACGAATACGCTGAGCGGCTCACCTTCGCGATCAACACTGCAAGAGATCGGATCCGAGGTGAAACCCCTTTCTACATGATACATGGTTGGGATCCTAGATCCCCCTTGGAAGCGTTGATCCCGGTGGGGAGCACTCGTAGCATGATCGAAACCCAAGAAGATGGCGATATCGGATACAAAGGTACTATCAACAATCTCGAGAACAAGTGAACCAACGTTTACGCGAAGCAATCGCGGATCGGGCCGACATACATAATGATCTAGTACGTCCTCATCTTGTAGAGTCTGGATCAAGGGTCTGGTTATACCTAGATCGAGTGCGTGAGGGATATGCAAAAAAGCTGGCGAACTTGTGGCATGGTCCATTCCGCGTCGCTGAAAAGATCGGGGAATACGCATGAGGTTGAAGGTCGCAGGATCAACATACAGCATTTCCCCGGTAGTGCATGTTTCATAGATCAAACCGGTCAAGATATTCCCAGATCGACCAATCGCCCGTTTAAATGAGGCGGAAGGAGATCGGGTGGACTTCGATGAGGCTCTCCTACCTGAAAACAAGTGGATCCAGGATCGGGACCCAGATGAATACGAAGTGGAGCGAATTTCCGATATGAGGTCTAGCAAGAGGACTAGATATGGACGGATCTACCGTGAATTTCTGGTACACTGGCGCGGATATGAAGATTCAACCTGGGTAGATGAGGCAGATCTCATCTGCAGTGCTCTTCTCTATGAGTTCTTGCGAGATCGCACTAATCACAACAGCTTTGGTGTGATGCAGTCTCACGAGGAACTGTGAGATCTGGATCCACGCTGGTGAGCTGGTTATCGGTGTGGTTGAAGGTTGATGGATCTGCAAGGAGGTTGTAGATCGGAGGACGGGGTTTACGTGAATTTATATGATGACATGTTGAGGGAGGATCTGTGTGGAAAGAGATTGACTCAGAGCTTGACATGGATTGAGCAGGAACAAACTTCGATTATGGATCTAGGACTGTGTTAGCTGAGCGATTTTGGATCAAATGGCGAACGACAAGTGTGGCGGTATTATAGTGGAAATCTGTGCGAATTAACGTGGTTAAAGACTTAGTGGAAACAAAAAACACTGACGAACGCAGATCTGAAAAGGAAATGACATGTATTACGATTGACGAAGATGATCTGAAAAGAACGCATGGAGAAGTGTCAGGATCACGACTGAGGAGAAAGAGGCGGTGCGTGGGTGTTCAGAGCTGCCATGTTAAAAAATTACCGGCGAGACGCGCAATCCGACGAGCGGGATGGCCCGCATAGTGCAGACGATAGTGAGTACGCCACGGATCTGCGGCGTCACACTCAGCGAGAGCCTCGATCAAATCTGCAGGCTCGCGACGGTGCAGTTGCGGATCTGCGAGGTTGGCACTGCGAGCCTCGATCCCGGAATACGAAGCCACTTCATCCGTTCGCTTAGGAAAATGGAGAAAATAGGGATCCAACAGCAGATCCAGATCACACCAGCCCTCTCGCATGGCGATCAAGAACAGTCGCAGGATCTGCTTCCACCTAGCGCCAGCGTGAGATCGACGGTTCTTCCTCTCCACAACGAAGAGCGCCAGATATGGGTCGCTACGGATCACAGCTGGCGAGACTGTAAAGCGGTGCGTCCATTCCCATTAAGTGATCAGATCCTGGAACTCGACAGCCAAATACCTCTCGATCAGGAATCCCAAGCGACCGTCGACTGTGATCTCGAACGACATGGGCTCAGGAATGTTGGCGCAAGTGAGTACATTCCAGGGAAGAGCAGCCATTAGGTCGCGGACGTTCTGGTCCGTGTTCAAGTGGCTACAATATTGATCCGGTCTGGAGTAGTTGCTCGAGGCACGTGACTGGGGAAGATCCATTCAGGGCGAAACGGCAACGCACGTGACAGCACTTCTAGGGTCATGGTCATGATCGTAAAGGTATTAATCCTCTGGATCACCCATGGATCCACGTCAGCGATGTTATATTGGCGGGTCTGCTGGCGTCTGGGAAAACATCCATGATCGGGAGCAAAATGACCGCGCGGGAGCATCATGGAAACGAGAGGCATTCCGGCCGGATCCACAGGAGATCCATCACCACCACCACTGCCATGACTTGAGTCGTCACCATCAGAGTCGCCGCCCGATCCAGGATCTCCAGCTCCTCCAGCCCCGGTACGATGAGGAGCAGCATGATCGCGGCGCCTCTGCTCGGATCTCGATCGAGAAAGAGCCATGCGTGTTTGAGCCTGCAACATGTCATTCAGGGTGTCGTCATCATCGCCGTCGGCCGAAGTGTCGGCCTCTGATCCTTGATCTTCCTTTTCTAGATACACGTCCTTGGAGGGTTTAGGATCACCAGTCGACCGAGGTTTAGACTTGGACTTGGGCTTGGAGGCGGAATCCAAGCTTGCGGGGACATCAGATTTCTTGGATCCGGCCTTGTCAATGGACAAGTAGCGTGGTTCAGGGGTCGGCACAGGACTTGCTGCTCCACGATCCTTCTCCAAAAGTTCGTCAAGTAAAGGGTGATCTGGATCCGGCGTCTCCTCAACATCTGAACCTCCACCCATGTCATAATCATCTTGATCTTCTTCACGATCCAGATCGTTCTTGTGGTCTTCTGTCATCGGGGGTTTTCTCTTCGAGGGACGATCTGCATGGCGAGAAGGAGAAGGACCACGATATCTCTTGCCAGGAGGAAGGTCTTGACGCTTATCAGTGGAGGAAGAACCATCAGACCCGTCGGGCGTGGGCGTGTAGTCAGAATCACGGTCTGGTTGGTCGGGATCCGATTTGTCCAGCTCTGAATTCCCTTGATCCGACATGTCTTGATCTGGGTTCTCTTGGCTCGGCTTTTCTTGATCTGATCTGAGTTGCCCGGACTTGGTTTGTCTTGATCCAAGTCTTCTTGATCCTTTTTCCCTCTCGGGATCATCAGGAGAGCTCTCAGACCGAGCTTTGGTTGAATCGGTGTCGAGATAAAGTTTGGTGGTGAGAGGGGTTGATCCCATCCCGACGGCCACGGCGGACAACATCTCTAGCGCCTTACGCAGTTTGCGTCGCAGATACTACGCTCTCGATCGAGACTGGCCAGCTGGCGGTTTAGCGCCTGCCTTCTGCTCTGGGATCGAGCGTTCCGCGTCGGTTTAAGCAGTTGGAGCTACAGTGACATCGTGTTCTGCGAGAAAGAAAAGAATACTATATTAACGAGATGGCATGATCTTGATCAAGGGCAAGGAAACGTACTCAGATCTTCGCCCGCGTCGCGATATCCTTTTTCACGCTTGGCCGCGCCGGCACGATTGACGCGCAGGACCTCACAGCACGACTTCACGCGCTTGAATTCGTCCGTCTTCTGCTGAATCTGATCTCGAAGCGCGGTAGCCTCGCGATCTTTGGTCTGGACTTGCGCGTTCGACGTATCACGCTCGCGGGAGTCTTGATCAAAACGATCTTGGAGGGAGACGCGCTCAGCGGTTTGTTGCTCCTGTAGATCCGACGATCTGGCGAGACTATGGCAGCGACCCGCTTGGCAACCAGCAGATCCTCCTCGGTCCGATCCGGGGCCAGACAGGTATGGCGAAGCACCCCCTCGGTAACGTGTAGCTGATCCACAGCGTGATCTCGAGCGCGGTCCGCCGTGTCGCACTGTTCCTGCAGATCCAGGATCTCCGCACCGGCGTGTTCCCGGTCTTGCAGAAGCCGAGTGACTTAGGACTCCAGATCTGGGACTTGCCTTTCGATGGTGTGAACGTGGGCGGCGGACGGCTGCGGATTATGAACGGCTTGAGCATGGGAGTCAAGCTGAACTTGTAGCGCATCCCGATCCGCCCGAAGACCGTTGATCGACTGTTGTATGAAGGCGATCGCCGGATCCTGGTCGTGGATGTAGTTCCGAAGGTCGTCCAGCCGATCTTGATGCTCCACTGAGGGCGGATCCGAGCTGCGGGGCAAGGTATGGAATGCCAGAGCGGCCGTGAGCCCGCCCTCACTACAGAAGAGGCGCGTGGCGTAGCGGTGGAGTTCCTCACGCGTGCTGTGGGGATCGAAGGCGGATCCGGGCGATCCACCACTCGAGGATCCGCTGGGGCTTGGGGCGTTGGACATTCCGATGAATCGGAGATCTGCGATGAGCCAAGAATAAAAAGAAGTGTCTGCACTGATCCTGTTCGGCAGCAACGACTACAGACATGAGGCGATTGTGGTGAAGTGGATTCCGAGAAATTACGGACAGGAAGCGATCGGATCAAGTGAAGTGATAGGTATGCCTGGATCTGAAGTGACTACTGTGGACCCAGATCTGAGAAGGTCTGATGGACTCAGATCAACTGATTCTGAGGTGACTGGATCAATTTGGGAGGACCTATTTATTGGTGCCTGATATGGGTATAATTATGCCTGATCCAGATATGATTACCCAAGGCGAATCAGGATCAAGTAAACAAGGTAAGCATTCGGCGGTATACAGCCAGATCCGAAGATAAGCGGATGGTGGGAAAGAAATACGTGGATCCAGATAGTAGACGATGAGACAAATCAGGATCAAGAACTTAGGAA